GCTGTGATATTTATTTATTTATTTATTTATTTGTTTGTTTGTTTTATTTAGCTTAATATCACCCATTTAGACATAGTCTACTCTGGGCAGCTCACAAACGCATAATAAAAACAATTAATATAAAGTAACGGTTTCCTACATTAACACAATAAATCAAGCAGTAGGTGTGTAAACAGGGAAAAAACAGGTTTTAAGACTGTAGCAAATACAAAGAATTAGGATACCCCAGTACTGAGCTACCTGGGACAGGCTGGAAGCTCTGAGTCAATGCCTGCTTGTGTTGAGTTTTGCTATTAAGGCCTCCATTATTAAAATGTTGAACTTCTTAAAAAGCAACCTGAAAACTACCGATATCTGAGTGAAACTACAAAGTGATTTCCTAAGCTTTCAAAGCCCTTTTCATAAACATGCATTTATTAAGCCACAGAATATCCTTATTTAGAGAATGAGTAGTAGTAAATATTTTATTTTACAGAGCGATGGAAGAGATTGTATAGCTTTCCAGAGGCAAACTTGGAATGCCTTGCACCAGCTAGACGATATTATGTCCATTTGCCTAATTGGTAAATTATAGATTTAAACATACAGCATCATTACCCATGGGGCATTTTCTTCACATGCAGTGCACTAGTTCAAAATCCAGTGAAGGAGTGTAATTGCTTTTGGCAGGTCTATGCAAAATACTACGTTTGTTCAGCCAAATGTTACTGGGTTAATGATCCTTGTTACCATTTGTGAAATCTTTCCATCAATAATATCCCACACCTTCCCCACCCCCACCCCGTACAATGAAATGTTTTCTCAGCAGGGGATGGGGGTAGCCAGACTCTATTCAGAAATCTCATCAACCATAGGGATAACTTGAATTGCAGACCCTTTAGAAACCAGGTCAGAGTATTCCTCCCTGCATGTCTGAAGAGACATCAGCTTCCAAGGACCTATATAGTTTTATTGGTTCATTGCCTTGCTCTGCCCTCTGCTTGGCCACTGCTGTCCTTACAGAAATGCCCTCTTTGTATTAGGAGAAACATACACACATGTGTTCCATGCAGCTCCCAAATGACAGGCTCAGACCAATCAAGGACTAGGGATGAGAAAATCTGTCATTTTTGCTTTCTCTTTAATTCATACATTTAAATCTCAAGGGTTTTTTTTCCCTTTCTGGATATGAAGGCATTTGTGGGTTTGCACAAAATTCGCACAAATAGTAGCAAAAATTGTATTCGCGAAGGCACAAATAGTAGCAAAATCCCCATCCATCCGCGTTGTCTAATTACAATAGATAGGTACAATAGGTGCCAGTGTGGACCAAGTCACATTGTGTTGCCCATTGTATTAGGTCAGAAGCCTCTGGGGGGGGAAGACGTGGCAACCTTGGATGAACACACAGGGGTTCAAACCCCAACTTCTAAGGATCAAACTCTCAAAGAGTCATGTCTTGATGGACTTGGTTTCTCTTGTGTTTGAATTTTTAAAACCCTTTAAGTTTTTAATTTCCTTAATATATATAGTTTCAGTAAAAAAAACCAACCCAACCCGAAATTCTAATGGTGGTTGTGGGTTTTTCGGGTTCTTTGGCTGTGTTCTGAAGGTTGTTCTTCCTAACGTTTCACCAGTCTCAACCCAAAATTCTCACCAATCTGTGCCCATTAGTGACCAGTGGTTCAGCTGCAGGGTGAGGGACGGTCACCCGAACATATTTATGTGAGAGCTCTCTCCTCACCACGAGCCCCCCCCCCGGGGTTCATGCTAAGTCATTCATAGACACAGAAAGAAATGGGGATACAGAATGTCTGATTCTGTGAATGGCAAGACCTATGAAGATTGACCAACTGGTATAAACTGGCTTAGTTTCTTCTCATTTAAAAGAGTGAAACATCCTCTTGGTATTGATATTTACCCTCTGATAGTCCTGGTACCAACACTTCCCTGCCCCTGCTTTTTTTAAAAAAAACCAAAATCCTACAAGGCTGGTGTTCTTACCGCTCCTGTCTGCCAACTTGCAGTAGAGACAGATAGAACTCCTTTATGGCAGAAGATCAGTATGTTTCATATTCAAATCATGAATATATATATAGCACAAGGTTAGTTTTATATCTGCTCTTTCTCATTACTCAGTAACAGGTTTCCTCCACAAGGGCAAAAAAACGACCGAAGGGGAATGAAAGGTTAACAGTTTCTTGAACATTGTGTGATCATTTAATAAAGGCTGCTCCGATCCCCTGAATGGTTCTTAAACACTGGAAATTTCAGCATATATAATTCAGTGTGACTTGGTACTCAAGCATGGATTTGTTTCCCAGTGTGCCTTTAGCTGCCAATGAACTTCAGTGTTAGTTACCACAAGGCAGACACGGATAGTTCAAAGATGTCTTCAAATTTTATCCGCGGCTTTCCTGGTAGAGTGCTCTCATTATTCCGGGAACTCGGCAACTTTTAATCAAAGGTAGGGGTTTGTTAAACTGGAAATCATAGTTTACCAATGAAGTCCATATGTGCATAAAGTCAGTATATTTCTCCTGGGCATTTACACTGGAAAATAACTGGGCTTGTCCGTCTTTGCTGAAATATTTTCTATCTCATCAGGTTAAATTTTACATGACCTCAGTTAAATCCAGGAAGTATGTCAGCTTTTTGTGCCATTTATTGGCAGGATATTATCCTCAAAGACATGGAAGTACAATGGAATAAAATCATGCTGAATTCTCTGTTGTAAGACTGAAATATCTACCTCCCAGTGGCACCAACAGCAGCAGCAGGGGCTGGTTTTTAATACAGAAGCCACAGGAGAGGAAAGAATTATCCCTCCTCCTGTGCACCACCGTCCCAAATTTGATTGGGCCCTGTGCTAATTAAAGCAGAGGAAATGGTGGAGAGGAAACCACAAAATGCTGCAGTTCTTCAGAGAGGCTGAAGGTGCATAGCACACATAAATTAGAGGTTCGTACCAGTAAGAATCCAGGGCTATCAGTGATTAATAGGTCCAAAAAAGAGAGTAGAAACTCCACATTTGCAAACAGCCTCTGTGCATGAGACTAAGTATTCCTGGGAAGTACAGCAAGGAAGGACTATGTTCAACTGGCGGGACCTTAGTCAGTGTGATCTTGTGTGGTTGTGTTCTTAAAATGGAAATTCACTCATAGAATATCATGATAAACAGACAAACTGTGTGTGTTTAAGTGAGAAAAGGATATAGGGTGGGGAACTTCCAGCTCTTTAAAGGATGATGAACTACTCTCATCATATCCTGTTAATTGGCTAGACTAGCTCAGACTGACAGGAAGCGGGTTTCAGCAAATCTGAAAGACCTCACATCCCCCAGGGTTGCATTAAAGCAATATTGTGAACTTCTCTTAATATTTGAGATGCTGTAAAGGCAGAAAGTGTGGCTATGTGAACCCAGCAACAAACTTTATGTTAATTGGACTTTTTATTACAATTGGATATCAATTGAAGAATATTTGCTCAACATCCTCTTACCCAAGCGGCATTTAATAAGAGATTTACACATATGATTATGCATCTAAGGGTGAATATATTTATACCCGTGTTTCCCAGCCTTGGGTACTCAAATGATGGACTGCAGCCTCCAGAATCTCTAAACAATGGCCATGTTGGGCTTTCTGGGACTTGATGTTGAACATTCCCTACCTCACAATGTTATTACGAAGATAAAAGTAGGGAGAAGAAAGCTATGTTATGCTGCTTTGAGTTCTATGGAGAACAAGTGAGCCAGATTCTGTACACTTCTCCCATGGTTAAGGAATGGAAAGTGAATTAACTATTGGAAGTGAATGGGTGCACAACTCAGGTTGCACTGACGATACTGCACTTTGAGTGGGAAGGTACAGAGAAAGAGAGGGGCCTCCTTTAGTTTCCTAGACTGTTCTTTTACTGCTTTGACCTCTGCTGACCTTCCTTCAACCTAGACTAATGTTCTTAGAGGTGTTGATTCACTTCTTTTCCCATTGCTTCTTGACCCCCTGTGTCAGAGGAGATAACATGCTTTTATTCCTGTGAGGTGGAGGGGCGCAAAGGTATGACTCTTTGCATCTCCATTGTCATTATCTAGAACCAGGAATCCTCTTCTATTTCTTATCTCAAGAAATTTCTCTATTGAGCACTAGCTTTCCTATTTTCGCAGAACAAGAAATATGGATGTGAGAAGAAGTCAGGAGGAAGCATGTGGGGCCAGCCATGCTGATTTTCAAGGACTGAACTGACAAGTTAGCTTCATCACTGCTTGCTTGCTCTGCCAATTTGCACAATCACACTTGAGATGTCATGATGTTGCACCAGAGTCTACAGTAACATCATGCTGCTCTATATAGTGTTGAACTGCAGCTTCCATCAGTCCTAACCCAGAGATGGGGAATCATGTTTTTGGAATATATCTCCTAGAATTCCCCCCGCCAGAATGCCACATTGACTGTCATATTCTTGGAGATGCAGTAAAGAAAGATAATGCATGAGCGAGGAGAGTTGCAGTCCAACAGTATTCAGAGGGCTGCAAACCACCCTCTAGCAAACCTCAGGGACAGTATACACCTAATTTGGATTAATTTTCCAGTGGATACTGAGGACATTAATCTAGGCATTCCAGATAATTTTGAGTCAGATTATTAGCAATATGCCTATCTCTTATAATGAGTAATTTAGCCTTTTATCACTACATGGGAAGATGTGAAGGAGGCCGAAGAACTTTGTAAGCTGGTTCAGTCATGACACATCATCATTGTTTACAGTTGCAGCATCAAAGTCAAGATGGCCCTGAGGATGTCCAGGTTTGGAGTGGGGGCAGGAGAGCAGAAGTAGTGGTAGTGAGTGATCGTTTAGGCATAATATTTTTTGGTGAAGAAAGTCCACAAATTTTTGAAAGCCATCATGTTCTAAGTTATCAAGCGTTATGAGATCAAGTGAAGGACAGGTCCTAGATGTGAATTCAAAATTGATTGTCTTTCCCCCCATTTTGACTAAAATACCTTCATTTTGTTTTGCAGATTATGGGATTAGAGATGAAAATCAAGGAAGACTGGGTGATGCTGGATGTGGCACAAGTGGAGAATCAAAACCTGAAGCAACAAATTGAGAAGCTGATCTTTGATGCTATGGTTCTGCAGAAGGAGGTGAGATAAATAAGAGAAAAGAGACTGACTGGCATTTTCAGGCTCAAGCCCTTTCTTGGATGCTCTTTCCAAAAGGTGTTTTGTTCTGTTCTTTTGCCTTAATGTGTCTATGTGTGCATCCAGAGTGTAGTTCACTCTTACAGCTCCTGTAATTGGAGGAATACACAAGAAGAGATGAACCTACTACAGTTATTGTGTGTACAAGTTTTGTGACACACAAAGCACAAATTTTTGCCCTACATTTTTCAAAAGGTTGGCACATAAAGTGATGTAAGAAATGACAAAGATACAAACAACATACTTTTAGGGAAAAAAAATTTAAAACAAACTCTTTGTGCAAATATTCTAAAACAAACAAGCAGCATTCAACTCCCAAGGGAGAACGAAGTGTTTTATTACTGTAAGCCTTATAGTATTTTTGCCTACTCTTCTGAATACTGATTCATTAAACTGCATTCCAGGAAATTTGCCATGATAATAAAAGATGTTCCAATACAATCCCAGTCATAAAAGCATCATCATTACAACCCCATTGTTACATACAGCACTGATGTTACCTGTCTGTCATGGGTTTGGAGGGAAAGTTCCATCCTATGGGGAGTGGAAGGCGGGACATCAGGAGGAGGGGCTGTACTGTATATATATGTGATGCGTGTGTGGAGAAGTTCAGAAGACGCTGGGATGTGACGAAGCAGCAGCTGGGAAGAAGAAGCTGGTGTGGGAGTCTGTGTGTCAGACAGGGTACTACTGTGTGTCAGAGTACCAACCTGATAGGTTCAGGTGTCTGTTGGTTAGCCAGAACTGATAGGTTCAGGGTCTGTGCTTCAAGTTAAGGGTTCTGTGTGAACCAAACTGTGTGTATGTATGAGTGAAACTAAGCCACGTTACTTTATCTTATTCACCTGATCATTTTAGTTTCCTGTGTGTTGTATTTAAATAAACCTTGTTCTTTTATTTGTTTAAAAATCCATCCCTGGTCTGTGTGACTTCTTATAGGGAATGGTTGGTGGCAGCTTAGTTAACGTGTGGCAGATCCCAGTAGGTCTGGGTTTGTCACACCCATGTTTTTATTCCTTATAACAGCAACAAAAACTGTAAATACAAATGTGAACCAACATATGATCATCCTTGTTTGTGTTTAAGTTCTCTCTGAGTAATTGTAAATTGACTACATAGCACAAAGTCTTCAAACCTGTTAAAGCTGGAACTCATACCTAGGCTGTGATGAATATGAGGGCCCACAATTCACTGTGATTTAGTTGTGTTTCCCACAGAATCACTACATGGCTACCACATTGCATTTTTGACAATACAGTGCCCAGGTCTGACATTGCCTTGTGGGAAGTTTAATGTATTGGCCCCAAAGGGCAGAGGTAATAATGCTGGGGTGGGACGCCATGATTGCCTGCTCTCATCGCAACGGCTATGATGTGGTGAGAGAAGAAGAAGAGGGGAGGTATCAATTCTGTTGGTTGCTCCATTGGTACAAAGGAGGCTTGATGTGTGGCATAGGCCTGCCTTGAATGCTTTTTTCTATCAACTCATTTTCTATAAATGACAGAGGTTTATGTATTTTCTCAAGAAGAAGAAGAAAACCCAATCTCAGGTATTCATTTTGATCCAGTCCTGTTTCCCACAAGTACACTGTTATGTTTAAATGCGGGCAGAAGATGCATCTTTAACAGAGCTTAGAAATGTCATTTTTAAAGCTGATATATTTGTGTTAGCAGTAATCTGTTGTTGCTAGTTGTTACTTGGTTTACTTGGTGGGAAACAGTAACATGTCGTATTATCCATTAACTGCATTTAAAAAACATATTACTTCAGAATTGATCTAAAAATTAAAAATGGTCAAAAAAGGGGGGGAACAATACCAAAATTAGTGTCTTATCAGTTTTTCGAAGTACTGTAATAAGAAAACACTGTTTCTTGTTTAAAAGTTTGCAACATTGACATAATTCATATTATAACCGTTGAAATTCTTGGGCTTTGATATTCCAGAAACAAAATAAAACACACACACATATTACAAGGATACTTTTAAGATGTTGCTTCTAAGCACTACTCTGTAAGCAGGCAGTCAACATTAGCTCAGGAGCTATGAAAAAATGTGGATTTCTAGATATGTCCAGCACTGTTCTCATGTGTTCAGAGACATATGTGTGTCCTTCTTTTGCACTTCATGTCTGGAAATATGGTTGCAACCATTACCATTGGAATTGATTCAATTTAAGCCACTTCAAAGGGCTTCAGTATAAGACTATGGGGTATAAAATTTTAAGTCCCCTTTTCAGCAACCCACTTCAAGGTCCAAGAGCTACTTGAATAATGTCTTTATCTGCTGACTGAAGGACAACAGTAAGGTGGCCAACTTAGCCTTCCTTGTTAGGGAGTGCTAAACCCGGGGGCAGCCACAGAGAGGGCTGTATTAGATTGAGCACATTTTGGATCTGGTGGGTAGGTGCAAACCCGATTACCCACAACAACCCTCTGGAAGGCTCCATTTTAGAATCTACCACGGAGGAAAACATCACTCATGCAATGTTTCTACTCCTTCTGAGCCATCTGTAACATGCTAGAGCCTCCACAGTAGGTGCCCTCTACTAGTGACCCACCCAACTCTCCCTCAAAACACTTAGGAGAAGGTTCTAGGATAGATTTGCACAGAGTTATCCAAGCTGGCTTTGACTTAGGAAATAAATTGATTAAATACTATATATATTCAATTTGAGAAGGTAGCTTCTAGCACTGGAATCTTCTATCCTCCCAAAATTAAATAAATAAATAAATAGAAATCTCAGTTAATTCCTTCCTTCCGAGTCTATGAAGTGTTCAATGTATCCTGGTTACCAAGGAAGAAAAGCTTTATGACAAATAGCAGGCTTGTGAAATCTACCTCAGAGACATGAGACTTTGTTTCCAAGAATAACCTCCTGGAGAAAGCTTCAGCTGTTGTATCTCAAGCTTACACTTAAGACTCCATAAAAATTATATGCAGGATGTCCATCAATCCTGAAAACGCTTTGGTGGCTGCGTATCTTGGAAAAAGAGCTTTCTGATATGATATGCAGCAATTCCTGATAAAGTCCTTGCCTCTTCTAGATAGTACACTCTTCAGTCCTTTTCAGCAGCCAGGAAGACTTTCCAGTACGTCACTGTGGAATGTAGATGCTCTCCTTCAGACCCTAGCAACAATCAAAAACAACTGAAGATAGGTATTTGGACTATGTCAAGGCAAGAACACTGTTTAAAAGGAAGGTGGATTTAGAAAGCCAGATGGAAAGTCCAGTGTGTGGCAAACCCAGGAGGTGGGGGGCAGAGGAGATGTCCCCTAGTGCCAGATTGTTCCAGGGAATCTTCAGGATAATTGGCATTTTTCCCTTCTTATTTCCTCTCTTCATTTTCAAATAACTATGGGAGGGGGAAATGGGGTGGGATTTTTACCATGCCCTCAATCCTTGGCATACAGAAAGGCAACAAACCATCTTTTATCACCTTAATGACACAGGCCTAATCAGAACGTTATATCCCTGAAATTCCATAAGGAAGAGCTGGTTTTCCATGTCATTCAAAAATACCCAGAAAAAACTTTGTTTATAAAGAAGTATGGGTTGTTCCTCACCCTTTTGGAGACATTTTGATATTCATCTTGGAATGTAGCAGGGTAGCAATGGGTGTGGGACCAATCATGTTGATACATTCTATGGTGATAGGAGGTCCTCTTTACACTCGCCTTTGTATTTCTGGTTGAAAGAAAGTGGGAAGATGTGCTAGTCAGGTCAGAAGCAAAATATAAGAATGTACAGGAGGCTGTTCATCTCACTTCAATGAACTACAGTGGAATGAAGGGCACTATCATGTGTCTCATAAACTGAAGAGGAGGTTGCAACTCAGCAACTAATGGAAATACTTAGAAGCTCCTCTAACAAAACATGTGTTGATGATTCTACTGGCTCTGAAGGCTTTTTCTATGCTGTTTTGTCTAGCTTTTGCAGATGTAAACATTACCTAATACTAAAACAATGAAATGTGTAACATAAACAAATGCATGCTTAGGTGCCATCAAGAAAATCTGCTTGTAGAAGAACAGAGTCCGTATCAATGTAACACTTTCGTCAGGCCAACTGAAAGCTTTCAAGCCATTTCAGGCCCTCCAATATTTCAAGACTGCCAAATCTCTTCACTGGGTGAGTTGCTATCAAAGTGCAGTTGGCAGGGTTGTGGTGGTGGTGGTGGAGAATCAAGGCTGATATGAGAACATTAATCTGTCAACCATCAACCTATGCCATCTCAAGATATCATGCAAATATATGAGCACAATTATTTTGTTTTTCTCTCCCCTCTCCAAAAAAGGCAGTAGAGTAACTGGCTTTTTTGTAGCCTTCTCCTTGTCGGCTGCCTTTCCTCAATGTACAACAAATATACAAGTGCTGCTTCTTTGTTGCACAGCATCACCCAAACAAGTTATTTCTTTATTCTACTCTTTCTCCTTTCTTTCCCCTCAAATGCAACTTGTTTTTAGGCTTGGCTCATGTGAACAAAAGCTATCGTATTTTTCTTTTTTGTGCAGTTCCTTACAGTCCAAGGCACTCAGTGTCTGTAAATAAATCATCCAGACACGTTTTTTTCAAAGAAAGTGGTTCTTGCTTGGAGATGCCAGTCCATGCTGGCATCCAGCCACTAAGACAGAAATGTTACTCCTTGAGCTAATAAGTAATTGGTAGTTGAACTACTTTTCTGGCATGAAGCTAAGCGAATATCAAAGACAATAGGAAACAGGGTGCCTATAACACCACTGGAGAGGTATAATAAACTATTTTTACACACACACACACACACACACACACACACACACACACACACACACACACACAAACACACAAAC